CACATGCAAGGTGCGCATATCATATTATGATATATTTTTCTATGGGAGAAAATGAGTGATCGTTTAGAAAAGAAGAAAGCACTTTGTTATTCTCTCTCTCGAGTAGTACTCCTTTCACAAGGCAGATAGTGTTTAGTATGAGAGTATGGCTAGAATTCAGCAGCTCAAAAATGTGTGGCTGAGGCCTATTACATGTAGGGAAAGAAATTCACATGTATAGTATATGTAGGGAAACAAATTCACATGTATAGTATATGTAGGGAAACAAATTCACATGTATAGTATATGTAGGGAAACAAATTCACATGTATAGTATATGTAGGGAAAGAAATTCACATGTATAGTATATGTAGGGAAACAAATTCACATGTATAGTATATGTAGGGAAACAAATTCACATGTATAGTATATGTAGGGAAACAAATTCACATGTATAGTATATGTAGGGAAACAAATTCACATGTATAGTATATGTAGGGAAAGAAATTCACATGTATAGTATATGTAGAGAAACAAATTCACATGTATAGTATATGTAGGGAAACAAATTCACATGTATAGTATACATGTTGTTATTAATATTCATATGTGGCGACTTTGATACCATTGAAGTGCACACCTCGTATTTGAGCAGAATATTATGAACAACTACTATCCATGGGAGAAAATACAGGATCGTTTGAGTTCACACTGGATATTGATATGCAGGTTGCAGCGTGGGCACCTGATCGCGACGAGCTGGGTGATATGGTAGATCGACATGATATGGAGGGCCTGAGTGCAGCGGTCGGCGGAGGGGTAGTAGCACTTGGGGGGGATCTACGATATGGCGGGGGTGTGGTATAGGGAGTTATCAGTATGGGGGGATATGCATCTTGTAAACCACTTGTGTTGGTGGCGATATGGAGATGTTGGGGAAATTTACGGAGATGATCATTGTTGCTGATTCTTGTACATATCGCCCTAGTGATACGAAAAACACTAGTGAAAAATATATTTCACGACTACTGCATGGCGTGAATATCGCGTTTTTCGCAGAGAATTTTCACAGTGAAACTCCATTATTAGTAATATGGGTGTTTTTATAGGTACCAGACGTCGCAAAGCTGCCGCCTCCCGAGCGCAGCAACACACAGGGTGTGGTAGAGGTGATGGCCTCGTTGAGGGGGCAGATGAGAAGAGCTCAGAATGAGCAGCAGCAGAATTGAGGACAATTTTTGTGGCGCGCGAAGTTGACGTTGGTAATTTTAATAGTTCTGTTTCTAAACTATAATTGTTGGATTTTGGGGGGAATAATTTTTGTTGTTTTTTTGCTTCGCTCCGCCTTTTTAGAGTATCTGGTTTCGAGATCATATGAGGGATAAATAAATAACGAATTTTTGGGCGCGCGGTAAATTTGCTCCGATGAATTTTCTAATAGAATAGTCACGCTTACCGAATCAGTGGGTTAATCAATGGCTGAATCTACTGGTAAAAATCGATCATCTGATCGATTTACGTCATCTTCCAAATCCACAGGGAGCAACGGCGCAGCTGAGAAAGTGATGCAAAGATCAGTGCAGCAAATGAGGGAAAACGTGGAGGTGAGTTTTTGTCATCGCCATGGTTTTACTCTTGACTTAAATTCGCCCGAATTTTCGAGTAAAGCGCATCACACTGCGTGATGGCTAATTTTGACCAATAAGGAAATGACAATTATTTCGATTATTTGTATCAATTTGGTGAGTAGGAAATCGATCAAAGTGTAATTTCGTGGAGAAGTTGAAGAATTTGCGTGTTTGTTGAGAGTTTTGCTCGAAAAATTGCTGTGGGTTTGGTATGATATTTTCAAAATCGTAGGAAAATGAGTGTCTCGGAAGTCAACTGGTGATAGTTGATAACAAAAGTGGGTTTATTGATGTCGAAATGCTGATTTCGCTCGCCCTGCACTTTACAGGGAAGATGGAGAGTTTTGTTTCAGCGGATGAGATTGACCGAAGGTGCTCTGGTCGATTCAAGTGGGAAGATAAGTGACGTTAATAAAGAATATGCGGATAATTATTCGGGAGCGCTGAAGACTGCGAGCGAAGCGATGACTAGTCTGAAGAGAAAAATTGATACTGATGACAAATTCATTTGGTGGTCTTTCATATTTTTCATTGCTGTTTGTGTATTTATCATTTTGAAACGGCTGATGATATTTTCTCTGTCTGCATGGGTGTTGGCGATGATCTCGAAACCAATAATGTTTGGATATCGAGAAGTTGTCGAGCCGGTGTATCGAACTTTGGTTGGTGACACGGAGGTGATTCCGGGAGTGGAAGAATTGTAGTATTAATATGAAAGTTTTGTGTTGTTGAGTTCGATTTGGCTGGTCGATCTGGATTAGAGGAAATCTAGTAGGACACTGTCAGCAGCAGGAGGCTGGTTGGTTTGTGTTGGTGGTAGTTCATAGAAGAAAATCTTTGCTGTGCGCAAAGAGGCATTGTCGTGTTGTTATGATGAATCTATCAATTACTCGAAAGTGAAAGGTTTACGGTGATACAAATGGGTTAACTACAATAGTCGATGATGATGGAGAAATCTTAGGAAATTGTTGGTGTAGTCTTTGTGGAGTTAATCGAGTCACCGAACATATATTTCGGAAATAAATGGTAATTTAGGGTGGCTGTATGCAATCTTCTCGTACACGACCCGCTCATATTTGAAGTTTTCGAAGTCGCTATCGTCTAGTGGTTAGGACGTCACGTTGTGGCCGTGACAACCCCGGTTCAAATCCGGGTAGTGACTTATTGGAAATAATTCATGTCCTATTTGACTCTAGCGAATTCCGAATCCTGTAACATTGAACACTTCTACTATCCAACTCGCCTTGTGTTGTTGAGTCCCGACCTGGGCAGCTTGACTAAGCGCAACCACTGAGAGCTGATAAGTCATTGAGAACTCCAATAATTTGCCCGATCTCAGAAATAGGTCATCCCAGACTCAATCGACAACTGTGAAGCGTGTTTGGCTCAAAGTTTGGCGCTGATCGAAAGCTCGAGGGGCACCGTCTAACGTTCTGGGATGCTTTGCTTTGCAACATGCAGCAGCCATAGAGCCTCGACTCGTTACCATATCTAGAATGCTACATTACGGATGAAGAAGACGATACGCGCGTCATAATATCGACGGGAATAGATGACTGATTGAGCTAACAGGTTCTTCCTTGACGTATTTGAGCATGCAAATTCGGGTATCGTTACAGACAGCAGTTACAAGCAAGGACTTTTACCAAACATCATCTCACGCTTTGTAGACAAACTAATGATGAACGAATAGTCACCGGATATTTACCAGTGATGAAAGAGAAAGACAAGTCGCTGAGAAGGAACGTCCATGCTCAACGGTACCCCACTGCTGTAATTCCTGCAAGCTCATCGTTCAACCACGCGCCGTTCCAGAGCAGAATATGCGCTGTCAGATTATATCACAGCAAACGCACTTCACTTGCCCGCGGTTTACTTGTTTAGTCTTTTAATAAGAAAGGGATGAATCTCGAATACTACTAACACAAGTCAGCTCAGATTAGGAGATTCAATATTACAGTAC